AAACCATGACTGGCCTGGAACCCTCTATATAGATCCGGTTGATCACCAACTAACAGAGATCCACCTGTCTCTGCCTCCTGCATATTGTAATTTTCAAGATTTGTTTCTTTCCCAGTTTGTGAGTGGCAACTGCTTGAACACACACACTCACGTATTCACATACACACATACATGTCATTAGCTATGTGTATATACATTTGAGTTTGTGTGTGTGTGTGTGTGTGTGTGTATGTGTGTGTTTGGTGTTTGGGAATTATTTCTAGAGATAGGGTCTCCTGTGATCCAACTTACTACAAGGTTGAGGCTGGCCTTGAACTCCTGTCCTTCCTATTTTATCACCATATTTAGCAGATGTAGATTGTTTTTCCTCTAGGGACAAAATTGTTCTTAGTTACATCTTTGTTTTTTCCTGCCAAAGGAACTGGAAAAGGCAGGGTTTGTTGTTGTTGTGTTTTGTTTTTCTGTTTCCCATGATGCTAGGGGTCAAATGCAGGGCTTTGTGTGGTCTAGCAGGCCTCTGCGTATTTCAAAGGTTAAAATCTTCCGTCTGCTACCTGGCTGCATGCTCTTGCTCACTTTCCTGTGGGAGCCATGGACAGCAGGATGTTGTGCACCATCTAACACTGGGGTTTTATTCACAGGCCGTGTGATTTTCAGCATGGTATTCTGTCACTGAATCCAAGGGGTTGAATGTTTGGCTCTTCTCTGGCTCTAGTGGGTATAGCTCGTTTTACACACTTAGAAGCACTTCAGAGATGCCCTGTGCCCAACTCTTCTACTCTTCTGTTGTCCTGAGCTGTCCAGGCAGCCAGTTCTCTAAGCCCGGACCTGTGACACATGAACTTGCTTCTGAGCCTCACCCTGACCACTGACAAACTCAACTCTCCAAGGCCTACTGTCAGGGATGGGCTACCACCTATCCCAGGCTCAGCCTCACTCCCATCTTGCTGGCCACCTTCTCCTCTCCCTTTCTACTTAGCCTAGAACTTCTGAAAGAAGTGGAGGGAGAGGGACAGAATTGTGACTCTCTTCAGCTCAGAGTAGGAGAGCCAGACTTCCTCCTGAAGTGCTTTGCATTTCTTTTAACAAATAAGGCAACCTCCTTTGCTTGCTACTTTTCCCCTTCATCTAAGAGATTAAAAGAATACACCAGGACTAAGGTATTGATTACTAAAAACCCCTTAGGAAGTGCCACACACTGGGAGGAGGCCCTCCTCAGCAAGTCTACACACTGCTGATCACTGCTCTGTGGATCGGTTTCTCATTTGGGCGGAGCCTCTGCTAGTCACCTGCTGTGGAGCGGGGCTTCAGGGCCAGGACCAGACCGGAGGCTTGATGGACCTATGGTTCCTTTATGGGGCTCAGGGCCTCTCAGACCCTTGGGGTGCTTGGGAAAGAGCCTTGCTGATCTGAGGTAGGAGTTAACCTCGATGCTCTAAAAACAACTACCCCCAAGAAAGCCAAGTGTCCTCCAGGTCCCATGTCTGGGTTTGGCTCTGTCCTTCGTTTCTGAAAAAGCAGTACTGAGAGTGCTTGAAGCCAGGGAGTGGAGGCCTTGTAGATACTTAATAGCCACATCCTGACACTCCAGACAGGACACGGCATTTGCCCATTCAGTCAGTGTTCGGTAAGCTCCCGCCCACAGGGCCAGGTGATACTGCACTCAGGAGGCCCAGCAGGGACCCTGACAGAAGGTCTGCTGTTCCGTAGCTTGGCGTGAATAAGCAGGGTGTTGTTGGTGATGGAGATGTGGGGGGTGGACAACCTGCTGGGCAGGGGTTGGATGGGAGCCGGAAGGAGTGGGTGGACCACTGTTGAGAAACAGGGATGACTAGAGAATATCTGGCATGGAGGAGAGGGCTTCCTGGATGGTAGGGTAGTCCTCCAGTGTGGATTTCTGTCCTTCGTGGAAGTGGGTCTTCCATCTCTTCAGGTGACTGGCTCTGAGTAGATGGGAGGTGGACGGCTGCCACCCAAAGCCCACCTCTGTAAGTGCGAACAACCCCAGCCCCCAGCTCTCATCCGTGACTAATGGCCCTGCACCAGCCCCTGCCAGGGCCCTAATGCAATTCCACCTGCGTCAGAGGCTCCAGCCAGCGCCTGAGTCACCCTGGCTCCCAGGAGAGGACACACGGAGACACACGGAGAGTCGCGCGTCAGCAGCACACGCTGCTTCTCTGCTCGGTGGTACCGCTGGGAGATTAAACACATTCGCTTAGAGAAAAGCAAAGAAACAATGTCTTCTGCTAGGCAGAGTCTGGTAGCTAATGGGCCTCCGAGAGCTGTGTACAATCTAAACTTTTTATTAAAAAGGAAAAAAAAAAGCTCTTTTGCTCTCCTGGGACTTGCACTGTGAAATTATCAACCACACGGGCTTTGCCGCCCTTTCAACGTGACTGCACATACAGTGGAGAACATTAATTGTTTTGTTTTGTTCACAGCCGAGACTAGGCTCTTCCCTTCTGCCAGGGAGAATGCTCCTGGGTCTCTCTCTGCCAGGGTGGCAGGGCCTGGGGGTTCTGAAGCCCTGGCCTCTGCCCACCACTCCTCACTGAAAGAGGCTTTCTAACGTCAGCTGCCTCCATAGTGTGCATAACTAACAGCCCAGCCCAGAAGCACCTTCTGGTTTAGCATACCTAACGAGTGGCTCAGGACCTGCTAAGCCATTCCAAGTGACCTTCCCTATTATGGCAAGAACCCCCCACACCCCCCTAACACACACACACATTCCTCCTAGAAACCCCTGACCTCTGATCTCTGGATCCTATTGCTCTAAGCCTCTGCTTACCGTGAAACCTCAGGCCAACCCCCTACTCTGCGCCTGCATGTCTGTCTCTGTGTGGGAACTACAGCGAAACTGCTTCAGTTTTTCCAGGGAGGCTACAAGTGGCCTTTGGCTTTCATCAGCCTCTATGTTCAAGAGTCATCTATGTTCTGTGGCACCAAGCCCTTCCGGCCCCACAGAGAAGATGCTGAGATGGGTTTACATTCTCTAGAGGATGGACACGAATAAATTGAGAGTCTTTCTAACACTGATCAACATGTGGCAATGGTGGAAGAAAGAGAGAAAGGGGGTGATGGTTTGTGTGTGGGGGCGGGGGAGGCACTGATGCTGGTCTTCTTGAGGAGATGATGTTTAGTCTGAGACTTGAATAAAAGAGTCTGAGGGAGGACATGTAGCAGAGGTCCCCAGTCAGTGCCCCTCTGCGATCAAGAAACAGAGAGGTAGATGCATCTGGGGTGTGGGGAGCCGTGGCTGAAGTCTGCAGACAGCCTGAGCCTGAGCACAGTAGGCACAATGAAGGGATGAGGGAGCGGGCATCGGGAGAGTGCAGCAGGCTGGGCTTCACCTCTGCTTTGTTCTTCTCTCCCACATGCCTTTTCTTTGGAACTATAGTCCCGTTGGTTGACTTTAATAACCAGTGAGAACATTTTTCAGGCTGTTTAACTTTATTAAAAGATTTAAATTTGATGATGAACATTGGCATGGTTGCTTCAAGCCTCAGATAGAGGTTTGCTCAGCCATGGCTATGTCCTCGACACCTACTGTCATCCCCACAGGGCTAACCTCCCTCCCCACTGCCATGTAGTCTGAGACTGTAAATAATCTAATTATTTCTTGTACTTTGGTAAATATGCCAGGAACACTCGTAGCTGTCTGAGACCCGCAGAGAATATTAACTTGGTGCCTTTTTTTTCCCCCCCCGAGAAGAATGGATAATAAGTTAGAACAATCTCCTTGGCCTGATTGAACCACACACAGTCTCAGAGAGGCCAAGGGTTTTCCTCTGCATGCATCATTAGCCTCATATAGGATTGTTCAAGCTCTGTGATAAGAGACACGGGTGGGAGGAGGCAGAAGGAGTTGGGAACAAGTGGCTCACAGTCCTGAAAACCCTTGAGCCACTAGGACACCAGTTTAATCTCGCAGTGTGCAGATGAGGCCTAGACCTATGAGCAGGGACCCCGCCGTGATGACAGCCCCCCCTGAGTGGATGAGAACCCGACATATTAGCATCGCAGTGTGGGGACGTGGGGGGGGGCAGGCTTGCTGGGTTCTGCCTCCAGATGTTACTATGCAGCCTCATGGCCCTGACCCCCCCTGGGGCAGTCCTGAAGATGCTTGCTGTGTTCCTCCCCGTCTGTTGACAGCAGCAGATTCTGGAAGAAGATGCGGGGCTAATTACAGAGCACATTGTGCTGCAGCTATCATTAGTATTAATTAGTTTCCAAAGGCGAAGATGCACTCTCCTCCGTGGAGTGTGCCCCCGCTTGGCTAGCCCTAAGCTTTGCGGACGCTAGGCGTGGGCGAGGAAGACTTAGAGGCCGCAGCCTGCGGGGAGAGGCCAAGGTCTCAGCTCAGATCAAGCCCTCTTCCCGTGCTCTGTGGCCCTGGAGGACCAGATTTATCCGTATACTGTGTTGCCAGCTTGAGTTCTGACTTACAGAAGCAAAAACAGATGCCTAAAAGATGCCAACAGGCAGAACTCAAGAAAGCCGGCTGGCCCCAGAGAGACAAGCCCTTTGCCAGAGAGCTGAGAGAGACACTGAAAGCCCCAAGCGGCATCTTTAATTCATGCCCTGGCTGAGTTTGTATTGCTAAATTCAAATTAATGATCTCTACACTGCAACCCAGAACCTGGCCAAGCGGCAGGGAGCACCTTGGGCACCGTCATAGGATGCTATTCTCTCTGTCTCAATACCCAAGGTGAGGAAGGGCCAGTAGACCGACACCAATCTCAACAAAAGGATTAAAACTAGCAGTAGGGTTTTAGAAACAGCATTTTGCAGCCATACCCAGGTCTGTGATCTTTGCTCTTGGCTTTGCAGTGTTGTTTAGCCCTGTGGGATACAGGCTAGACTAGAGGTGGCAGAACCATATGTTCATCCAAGACAGAGCAACAGAGAAGGGCTGTCCTTCCTCCATAATGCTCTGACAACACGTAGCCAGGTGGACATCTGTAGGAGGGCCGCACAGTGTTCAAGGGGCCACCCGGAAGTTAAAGGCTGATGTCATAGTTATTCAAAGAGGACCAGTCCTTGAGTAGCACCGTGAGAGAGATGACAGAAAGATATGGTGACCACCCAATGGGGAGCTTCTGCATTGGAGGCCTTTGCCATAATGGCCTGGGGGCCACTTGGGCCTGCCTCTTGCAGAACAGCAGGAGGGCTTGGAAGGAGGTAGAGCGTTTCTCAGGAGTATCAGGACTGGATCCATCTGTGGGCCTCTGTCCAATGAAGAGCAGGCTCTGCCCATGAGGGTCTTATTCCACTTCGAACAGTTCATACTCTACATGTGGGAACCTGATGCCCAAGGGCAGGCACCCATTGGTGGTTGTGACATTCCTCTCAGTACCTACTGACCAGATCCCTGGGCCACCACAGCTGCTTGGCTTGGAGAAGTTGAGTATTGTAGTGACCTGGTCCGTGGGGGTCACATGAACCCGTATAACCTCAAACATCAGCTCAGTGCCGCTCTGGACCCAGGGGGATGGGGTGCCTCTGGAGTAGTGGCCAACTGCAAACACCGTGAAGGTAGGCCGGCGGCAGACAGGGTCTGAAAAATGGTGGTAATCCCCTTCCCAAGAGCATCTGTGGTCATCAAAGCTGAAGTCCCTTGACTCACAGCCCATGCTGATCCCAGTGGCCACCAAGGCGCAGTGGTAGGGCTGGCAAGGCAACACAGATGGGTGGTGCTCGTCAGAGCTGGCGATGAAACTGCAAGTCAGGTAGGGCCAAGGGTGGTACTGACAAAGTTGAAACACAGTGGTCAGGCAGCAGAAAGAGGCAGGGATCAACTGGAATCCAGTGAGACCCACCTACTGGTTGTCAGCTGCTTTCGACTTCCTAGCCTTCCCTAGGTTGGCAGCTTGGGTGTCCTCGGATTTAGAAGGCAAAGTCACCCCCTTCCCTGGGGACTTCAGCCTAACAAAGACCTGAAGTTTATAAAGCAACCTTGAGACCTGTCCCTTCACCTTCTCATACATGTCTCCCTCCACACCTTCCCTTCTGCATTAGACAGGAAGTTGCAAAAACTTTTTAGGCTGAGGTCCTCATGTCCCCCAACACCAAGGCTCCCTATAAACACACACTTGCTGGATGGATGAGAAACTCGGTGAAGTCTAGGTGGGTTAGGCCCCCAGATGTAGAAGAAGCCCTTCCTAGGTTGCCAGCCTGGCCTGTCACTGCCATTATCACTGCCATTGCTCCTCCACATGCCGAGGCTTATGCTGACCCCCTCCTGCAAGCATTTGACAGAGGACAGTGAAACTAGGAGTCCCGGTGGCCTGCCACAGATGTCCACAGTTGTACACAGCCCTGCAGGACCTGTTCCAGAGCTGCACAGCAGTTAGCACATCCTTTGTACAGGATACACAAACACTAGCATGGTTGTTTTTGTTTTCTATGTATGGTGTATGTGTGAGTGTATGTCGGGAGTGAGGGTGTGTGTTCCTATGTGTGCAGGCACATGTGAAAGCAAGGAGAGGCTTCCTCAGATCGAGTGTCACCTTATTCTGAGGCAGAGTCTCTCAGTTGAACCCAAACTTGTCAACAGGACTCATCCTCCTGGAGTGCTAGTCCTTGCCTCTGCTTGACCTTGCTTTGTAGCTCAGGCTGGCCTTACACGCCTGATTCTTCTTCTACCTCTCTAATGGGCTGGGATTAAGAGCATGTACCACCATGCCCTGCCTCCAGCATTTATTACAACAGACAAAACAAGTTGCACTGGAGACCCCTGCTCCTGCAGTGGTTTCTTCTGGCTTTTGATTGCTTGAAGTCACCCCCAAGCTTGGCTTTGCGGAAGTGAGTCAACACCCATCAACAGGAAAGGCTAAATCTAGCTGGGTAGAAGCGACCCATCTGCATTCTGGAGTGAAAAAGTTTAGTAGAGGCCAAAAAGGAACCAGACAGAGACTCCCATCTCCCCTCCCCCCAACCCCTCGCTTCTCTTTCTTCTTTCCATAAAAGGGAGATGCTGTCCAGAAGTCGATGCAGAGCCTTCCTCTCTGAAAACGTGATGGCCTGGGATAGCCACTGTTCAGCGCTGACCTGGGAGCTGGCAGACAACCCTGTTCCCTCCGTTCCTTAGGGAACAGAACTGAGGCCAGAGCAGGAAAGACAAGGGGGAGGACATTTTTTTTTCTTGTTTGGATTGCCACCCTTTCAAAGCTCTTACTATTAATATGTATTCCTGTGAAGAGGCTGAAGCTCTAGTTCTATAGCACATGACCCTATATCAAGTTTTATTTCTGGATATCATTCTTATTCTTATTATCTTTCATTATTATTTGAGGCTGAGTTCAAACTCCAGGCGATCCTATCTGCCTCAGCTTCCAAGGGGCTCAGATAACAGGTGAGCCCCATCAGGCTGAGCTGCTGTTTGGGGGGGATTCTGACCCGGAGGACTGGAAGGCACTTTGAAACACTAGTAAATGGCGACAGACTTGTTTGTGATGGAGGATGCGATGGCAGTTAGCCAGAGTGTTGGTAATTGGGAGGATGGCTGATAAGAGTTCCCTCTAATTTAGGCCTTTTAACCTACATTCTGAACTGTGCTCACACTAATGTGTATTGACAGGGCCAAATGCACAGCATAGAAATAATACCAAGTAGCTCTTTCCTGCCACACTCACAGGGACACACGCGTGACCTCACGTGTGTATGATCCCTGTGCAGAGGGACATTGCAGGGGCTGACTGGTCATTTGGGACAAGTGATTTGGGGCAGAGCAGGTGGGTGAGGAGACAGAAAAGACATTTCCTGTTCAGGGGTAGTTGAAGTAGATGACACAATGCTCCTGCCCCCATTAAATGTCTCTAGGGTGACCTCAACAGAGGCCAGAGACCTATGTGTGAACAGACAAAGCCCCCGGTCTCACACTTGCCAACTTCACACTGATGTGAGCCCATTCCACCAAGCCGTTTCTCCTATGGCACGTACCAGTTTCTAATTAAGCCCCAGAGGTGATGCCTCCCCGGATGACTGTGGTGGAGCATGGACTGATTGATTAGTATTCTATATCCAGACGATAAATTTGGGGATCAAATTGGTTTTAAATTAACTTCTAAAAATGTTCAGTGTTTACCATCTGGTTTGGGTCGTGGGCAAGGCTCAGGCCCCCGAGAGCAGAGGTGCTATTTGGGGATTTGACTGCTGCATTTCCTTCTCTCAAATCATCTTCCTCCCCTCCCCAGGAGGGGGGTGGCGAGCAGACCTTTAATTTAATGTCTGTGCATCTGGCGCTGGTCTGCTATGACATCTTTCTATGTGTCTTGTTTTTCAATCACTTTTCCAGCCTGTGCAGGCCACCAGGAGCAGCCATGCTGCAGGAAGGGAAGAGGTAGTGGCCCCTGAGCTTCTCCCAGGAGAGGGGAACTGGTCAGCCTTCACTGTGTCTCTTGGAACAAGGAGTTGGGGTCTGGAAATCAACTCATCTCCTCTGGATTAAGGCCTGAGCAGCATAAGCAATTGTCTGTGGAAAGGGATTCATTTTGAGGTCATTTTGAAAGAAACTTGAGGCTCTTTTTTCTGTTCAGCAGTGTTCCTTCTCTGCCTCCCAGATTCTAGGTTTTGGGGACACTTGGAAAGGGTAAGGAAGGCAGGTGGGGTTGGACTCTCCTCACTAACGTTCACCCCTTGGGATTCTCTCAAGCAGTTGCTATGGGGATCAGAAGTTGCCCCAACTGGCTTTGCAACTGAGTGTACGGTACACAGTAGGCACTCAGTGTATGCTTCATGATGGCTGGATGGCCCAAGCAAGGTTCAAACAGCTCTCAAGAGGTGGCTGAATTTATTCTTCTCTCTGTCCATTTGTTTGTACTTCGTTGTTCTGTTGTTTTTTGAGAACTCCCTGCCTCTGTCTCTAAAGTGTTAGGATTACAGGTGTGAGCTACCATATTTAATTTGATTATCAGGAAATAAACATGGGGTACAGTGACCCAGAGTCCTGACCTGTCTTCATGTGCACTCACAATAAGCAGCGTTCTCCCAGTCTTCCAGACACTGCACTCATCACTGATTGGACTTGAGTGTGAAGAAAGAGCTCCTGTTCTCAGCCACCCATGTCACAGCTTCACATCTGAAGGCTGTTTTGTTTTCTTTCATTTCCTTCCCTCCTCCTCTTCCTCCTCTTCTTCCTCCTCTTCCTCCTCCTTGCCTCCTCCTCCTTCTCTTTCTTTTTTTTTCTGCTCCCTTTGTTTTGGTTTTGTTTGTTTGTTTGTTGTTTTTGTTTTGTTTTTTTTCGAAACAGGGTTTCTCTGTGTAGCCCTGGCTATCCTGGAACTCACTCTGTAGACCAGGCTGGCCTCGAACTCAGAAATCTGCCTGCCTCTACCTCCCAAGTGCTGGGATTAAAGGTGTGCGCCACCACTGCCCGGCTGTTTTGTTGTTGTTGTTGTTGTTGTTGTTTTGTTTTGTTTTGTTGAGATAGAGTTTCTCTGTATAGCCTTTGGCTGTCCTAGAACTCACTCTGTAGACCAGGCTGACTTCAAAACAAAGATCCTCTTGCCTCTGCATTCCAAGTGCTGGGTTTAAAGGCCTGCATCACTACTGCCCAATGCCTTTTAAATTTTCGAAAATATTTTTCTCAACTTTTTTTTTTTTTTTTTTTTTTGAGGAGAGTGATCAGACAGTACAAGCACCAGAGGAGGCCTTGGCATCGAAAACTCCACCAGCCCCAGTCTTCTACTGACAGCCCCATCCTTTATAGTTGAGGGACAGCACGGCACTTCCTTACAGGTGGAGTTGGATGGCTGCCATAGGGTCGCTTTACAACCTCTCTATTCTGGGAATCAGCCCATAGACCATTGGGCACATGTTAGAAATGAGAATCACATTTTAAAAAAAAGGTTAGACAGTGCTTTAAGTGGTAATCCCAGCAACTTGAGAGGCAGAGGCAGGCAGATTTCTGAGTTCATGGACAGCCTGGTCTACAGAGTGAGTTCCAGGATAACCAAGGCCACACTCCTCACCTTTGGCTCCACTTAGCTTCAGTCATCAGAGTTCCTGCCCAGCTCCCAGCTCCACCTCTGTTCATGATACTGACCCCGGAATGTGTGTGGAGTTTGATACAACACCCTAGAACATGAACATGTGTGCACACACACATCAGTGCTTTGTCCCCTGGTCACCAGTGGGTCCCCTGGGCTCCTGAAGGATGTCACTAAGAGAGTACCACAGCCCCAGCGGAGTGTTTCCAACACATGTGCCAATGCTATGCTGCCTTTATCCAGATGCCAGACCCCATGCTGGGTGGTGCCACAGAACTCCCCTGAGGAAATGCTTAGTGCCCAAGTGAGGAGGTGACAGGCAACAGGCTGGGCTCCCTAACAGCAGGGTATGCTGGGTGTTAGGAGATGTGCAGAGTGGGAAATAGAGGGACCAGGTAAACAGGACCAAACAGGAAGAAACCTGCCTGAGCCATTGTGCCCTGGGGGGGTACGGGGACGGGGATAGGGACGGGGACGGGGTGTTGCAAGAATCATGAAGACCAAACCCAGGAGATGCATGACTAGGCTAGGGAGGATGAACTATGTTATTCTCTACAAAATTCACCTAGCCTTGCAGAAGCTGAGACTAGAAGGCTCAAGCAGAGGTAACTGAATGTGCTAATGTCCTGGGGTTAGCTGCCCAGAGGTGAGGGCGGTGAGTAGATCAGACCCTTAGCAGGACCAGACTATAGGACCTGCTGGGCCGGGCACCGGAGCCTCTCCACAGAGCTCCATCCTCCCAGAGCACTTTGCAGGGGGCACTGGTGGCCATTGGGATGGTAGTGCTGTCTCTCTGCCCAGTCAGTGTGGATATCCCCAAGGAACAACTCCTGGACTAGACAGGGTGCCACCCCAGGCTGCTGTTGGATGTGACCTTGCAGGCACAGCAGACTGAGTTCGTCCATGCTGAAGCCCAGTGCCACCAGGAGTCATCTGGGACCTGGGAGCTCAGGAGCTCAAACAGCATCCCTGACAGCCAGGCCTGGCCTGGAGGCAGACGTTCTGTACAGTCCTGGACAGCCTGGGTCTGGCTGAGGCACCTGGCAATGTCAAGCAGGATGTGTTGGCTGTGGAAGACTATGCCCACCTTGTGTAGACGGTAGTCAGCCTCCGTGGCACCCTGGGTGACCCAGGAGGCCTGGCGCAGATGAACTTTGCCCTTGATGAGCAATGAGTGGCTAGGCTCCTGGCAGGAAGGGTCTCTGTAGTACTGGTAGGCTCGCAAGAGGTAGCTCGAGTAGAAGGTGTAAGAATGGGTAAGGAATTCTGGCCCTGGACGAACCTTGAAGCTGCTGGGGAGGAGATGTGTGTTGAACAGAGAAAAGGAAACCTACCTTTGTGTTCCCCTCTTTCTGTGCCACATCCTAGCCTCTTTCACTTAAGCCTGGGCCCTATAACCTCTGTTTCCCCAGTGGGGGTGGGTGGGAGGACTTCTCCATTTTGTGATCTTCATAAAAAGCTCTCCAGTTCTCCTTCTGCTCAACCCTCATGATCGTAACTGGGGCTTTTGCCACTATCCACCACTCAGTGTACTTAGTCTCTTCCCTACGGAGTGCCCAGGCCCCTCGTTCTGTCCTGGATTTCCTACTGAGGGAAGGGCGTGCGAAGAACAGAGGGATGTCTCTCACGTGTCTCCCTCTGACAAGCTGCCTCCTTTCCCTAGTTCATTCCTCCAATAGCAAGCTGTTTCCAGGATGAGACAACATGTACTCTAAGGGTCGCAGGCTGCTGGAGCATCTGTGCCAGCCACCCTCCATTGCTACTGGTGAAACGAGTTTACCAAAACAAGACCATAAAGATGATAGCTCAGTGGTTAAAGTATTTACCACAGGAGCATAGCACCCCCTGAGTTTCATCCTCATTGTCCACACAGTGAAAAGCAATTGTGGTGTGTGACTATAATCCTAGCTCTGGAGCAGAGACAGGAAGATCTCTCTAAGGACTGATGGGGAGTCCCAGGTCCCAGTGAGAGACTGTATGTAAAAAAAAAAAAAAAACAAGGTAGAGAAAGACAACCTTCGTCTGTACATACACACACACACACACACACACACACACACAGAGAGAGAGAGAGAGATAAAGAGAGACAGAGAGAGAGAGAGAGACAGAGAGAGACAGATAGACAGACAGACAGACAAAGACAGACAGAGACAGAGAAACAGAGAGATAGAGACAGAGGTGGTTAGCTGACCTGGTCTTCAGGCTCTTTTCTGTTAGCCGTGCAAACAAGTCCTGGGGTGTACAGAAGGACAGGGACAACCTGACTCCTGGTCCCACAGTCATAGCCAAGGATAGAAAACATTCCCAAGGCCTTATTATTGTGGGTGGTGGGGGATGCCCCCTCTTTCCCTGGTGCCCACCTGGATTCCCATCTTAATATGGATTTCATACTTAAGTTGTTACCATCCAAGCAGAAAATGGCTCCCATTTTTCCTTCAGGCTCTCTGCTAACACGAGGGAGAAAGCCTCCGCTGGGACCTAATGAGTCTTAAGCCTTAGCTCCCCTCTCTCCCAGAGCGAGCAGACGCTTAGGCTGAGATGGGCTGTGAATCTAGAGGGAACCCAATTATGTGGTTTTGTTTCACTGGGTGTCTCCACAGTTACTTCTTATTTATGGCGAGGGGCTGTAATCTGCATCCACAGCATGTGAGGCATCCCTTAAAAATAATTATATCACACTATAAATGTGTGCTGTTTACTGTATGCCAATTATACCCCAATAAAGCTGTAAAAACGCACGAATACGTTTAAGTAAATAAAAGTTAGTTGGTCTGAAGAAAAATAGTAAGTGGCTAATAGACCAGGTGGTGGCTGCAGTAAGGGAAGTCACCCTGGACCCTTGAGAACCTCAGATGGGGCCTGCGGTATGAAATGACTTTCCTCGGGGCATCCAGGCTGTCATCTCAAAGTCTGAGCTCTACTGACCCCTTTCTCCATGCCTCTCAGAAAGCAACAAGGCCTACTTGGAGAGCACAGTGGAACTTTCTAGGAAGAAAGTTCTAGAAGTTTCTTAGAACTGCTCCGGAGTGTTGCTGCAGGCCGGAGCAGACAACACAGTGTTCCCTCTCTGTGCACTCAGTGACCCTGCTAGGGAGCTGCCTAGGTCCCAGTTGGGCTGGATGAGGTAGGGCTGCAGCCCAGAGCCTGGGAAAAGTGCTAGGAGCAATTTGGAGAGCCTGCACCCTACCCCCTCCCGGCACCCAAAGCGCTAGCAGATGTTTGGCAAGCACATTTCTTCATGAGCTCAGGAAGCATGTAGAGGGAGGGTTCAGTCCTTGACCCCAGAATGGAATGGGCTGAGGAGGAGACCTGTGGACAAGTGTGTGAGTGTGTAGGGGGAGTGAGAATAAGCGAGGGAAGCCACACTCCCCCTCAGCTCCTAGCCTGGAAGGGAGAGTGACCTGATGCCTACCACAGATGAGGGGCTCGGAGCTGCTCCTGAGGTGAGGTGGGGGGCTGCAAGGTTAGAAATGGGTGGGAATCTTGGATTCTCTTCTGCCCAGTTACTTCCTGCCTCGGTTCTTTGAACCAGTTGTGCTCTCTGCCTGACCCATCTTCCTATGGATCTCAGAAAGGGAACTTCTCTCAACCAGATGTCACCAACTCCAGGAACCCTCCAGGATATTTGTTACCCTAGGTTTCGGCTTTGCAGCACAGTTCAGTGTCATGTTAAATCTACATTACACAGTTCCCATTTGCCTAAAGCACACACCCTACTGTGCGCCCAGCTCACCAGCTGGCAAGAAGCAAACCTCTCTCTCTCTCTCTCTCTCTCTCTCTCTCTCTCTCTCTCTGTGTGTGTGTGTGTGTGTGTGTGTGTGTGTGTGTGTAACAGGTCTCTCTGCGTGTGTTTCATTCAGTTTAACCCTTGTTGACTGGACGTGATGTTTGACAGTTCCTGCTCCAGGTGCCAGTTCCAGATGGGAGAAAGCAAAGAGGTTGGCAGGCAGCCTCTGGGGACCCAGGAGCATTGTCTCAACTTCACAGAGGTCAATGCCAAGGCTCAGTGGGAGACATCTCCCACCCAGCCCAGCAGCGTGTGGTTGGGAGCTTAAGGGAGTCTTACCCCTTTGAGATCCAGAGCCCAGTTAGGTGTGGGAGCAGGACCATAGTGATGGGCAAACCATTAGGCACTGGCTGCTGACACTGGGGCCCCCAGTGTAGATGGCTGCCTCCTGAAGTCCCACTGTGGTGTGAACTGTAAAAGATGAAGAACCTGGTAAGAGATCCACAGGCTCCATGTGTACTGCCTGGCCTGCCTGCTCTCCCTGTGTCAGGGGTCACAGCTCACCTCTGGCCCCAGAAACCCAGATACTTGTTGACTGCATACAACAGGCTCGCCATTGACACCTTCACTGTATATGGGACACAGGCCAGGGTCTAACTCAGTGCTTACTGAGTGCGTGCGTGGCAGGAGACCAGAACCCGAGCAGGAGAGCAGCCACATAGACCGGATCCCACAAGGATCTCTTACCTAAGCCTGGCCAGGAGCCAGCACCACATTGAGGGAGGTGTCTGAGGTCCTTCTGGTGACCCCAGGATAGCTGGCAAGGGTACTGGCAGCTCCCCACAGCTCCTAGCTGCTGCTCAGAATTGAGTAACAAGACTTCAGCTAAGGAGCTGTAGTCCCTTCAGGGCTGTCATCTCCGACTTAGAAGGACAACTGATACAGTCCAGATGGGAGAATGCTAGTGTGAGCAGCGTCCAAGTCTTACAGCAGTGACTGTCCTCATAGTGGCCTCTGACCCCAGCTGCTAGCCACTGTATCAGGCTTGCCAACCTAGCCCTTCCCACTGAGCCTGGGGCCGAAGTGGATCGGGAGGGGCTTGGAGAGCCTCGGCCAGCCAGGGCCTCCAGGGAAGGCTGCGGATGGGTTAGAGAAACTCTCCCACAGCTTATTTCCATCCTTTCACCACTGCAGGTTCCCAGGTTCCCAGCTGGGCTTGGGGGGAGGCCAGGGGAACTCCATTTTACCCCTCAGAGCTCTTTCTGCTATACGCTTGGACCCCAAATTCTCTGTGCCCAACAATCTCTCAGGAAAGCTTATGTCCTTGGGATCTGGAGTCACATGTGGAGTCTCTGGGGACCCTGTCACTAGCTGAGAAGGCTGAGTGGTGTAGCTGGTGATGATGGCAATGGAGTCACGGATCAGATAAGGATCTAGGTGGTTTTATGATATGTCCTGTCATCTTTGCAGCAATCTTAGGGGTCGGGTGAGGCTTCGTGGGTTAGTCCCATGGGTTTGTGTCAGTCATCAAGAAAAGCCAGAACTGGAGCCCAGTTTGTCAGATTCAAGTCTCATTTGGGTCACCAGTGAGCTGATTTGGGGACACAGAGTGCAGGACACGCATGTGGAGAGTAAAGGTCTGAATGTGGCCCTTGGTCCTACCGATCAATGGATTTGTTGATTGTGGTCAGACAAATAGGAGAAACAAATCCAAACAGCTAACCGAGGCAAGGTGTCTTAATGTGGGCACACTGTCACTTGGGGAAGCAAGGCTGACCGAAGTCTTGCATGATCGAAGATGGGGTTTTCAGAATTAACCTGGAACAGTATCAAATTGACCTGAACCAGATCACTATGGTTGGTGCGTGGGCATCATCACTGAGCCCACGAATCCCGAACAGAGACAGACTTGTCTATGCTGTCAGCCAGAGCACACTGTAGTGCTTCTGAGCCACAGTCATGGTCGGAAGCTGCTGGATTCTCTGGATTCAATTCTGCAGGTTAATTTGAACATCACCAGTGTCAATGAAACCTGTCGCAAAGTGTTGATTTGGCCAACAGATGGGAGCAAAGAAGAATCCGGAGGGGTCAGCCTTATTTGCCTGGTTGGGAAATGAAGCTTACATTTCACAGTGAAATAGCACACGGGTTCTGAAAATTAGAGAGGAGTTGTCTCCATGAACCTCTGGTCCTTGAAGAGCTGCTGTCTCTGTTGGGAAGGAAACCATCACACCCTCCCTCCCTGAAGGCACCGAGAAGAGATGTCACGCTCTGACACAAAGTTCTCAGATGGTATTTCCCCCAAGTGTGTTTTCGTTTATGTTATTCTTCTGTGAGGAGTTAGGATTTAATTACGTTAGGAGACTATAATATATAGTCAGACCTCTTTGTCTTCAGAACACGAATACACACACATAGCACAATACAATGGGGGCCTTTGTGAAGAAAGCCCCAGAGGCCAGCCATGCTGGTTTCCCATAACCTCAATGTAAAGGTTGTTTTAAAAAAATCAACCACAAGCCCAACTAATAGTTAGAAATAGTCTCACGATGTTGCCCCTCCACAGCTTTGGGACAGACCTCGATTTTCTTTTCTTTCTTCACCCCGCATCTCTCCTCTCCCCACAGGAAAGTCTTAACTCGATGAGCCGCTACCGGCAGATGGGGCCGTGGCTGGGTCACACAACTCTTTGCAGGGACCCGAACGCAAGGACTAAATTGATTTTTATCAACCATGGATTTTTAATTAACAGTGGTGTCCACTTTACTGCCATTCAGTATTGACTGTTTACCCACTAATTAAAAATTATGCTGCTTTCGCACTCATAAGAGTGGGGACATTTGAAATTAGATAGCATCGTTCAAATTACCTGCAGAATTAAATTTACAGTACCCAACTGCTTGGACCAGGCTCCCAGAGCTGAAAATATGATCTGCTGTGGCCTGATGTGTTAGCAGGAGCTAGAACACTAGGGACAGCCCACTTGCACAAACACCATATGGGGTATGTTTGTGGCTGTGGGGAGTGTGGATGCTGCCTGAGCCCCAGGGTGTGGAGCTCTAGAGATGCCCTGAGGTCCTCACATATAAAGAGCTCATTCCTTGGGAGTCATCTAGGTTGGAGGCTAGATCTGTGCCATGCTGTGTGGCACTCCACAGCCCTGGTGGACACAGCATCTTCTGCCTGGCCATTGCTGGGGACTGACAGTCTCAGTCTGCATGGCCATTTGGAGTTCGGACCTACCAGTTCCTCATCCTATAGTTGAGGATGCAAAATCTCAGAGTGGTAAAGAGATTTAACTGCTGTCACTATGAGGATGTGGTCTTCCGAAGAAGCTTGCTTTTTCTTCTTTCTTTCTCTCCTCTCTCTCTCTCTCTCTCTCTCTCTCTCTCTCTCTCTCTCTCTCTCTTTCTTCTTTTGTAGTACCAACTCACACATGCTAGAAGCCCAGTCAGACCTGGAACTCACAATCTTCCTTATTAAGCCTCCTGAATGTTGTGTAGGTAGATGTGTATTAACAAGCCACCTTTTAGATGTCTGTATGCACATACATGTGCAGGACAGAGGACACCTTGGCTGTAATTCTTTAGACATTGTTCACCTTTTTCTGTTTAATTTTAATTTAATTTTATTTTTGAGGCAGGTCTCTGTAGCTTGGAATTCACCAAGTAGCTAGGTACTCTTTTTTAAAAGCAAAACAAAACATGGGTGCTAAGGAATTAAACCCATTTAGACAACTTAAAAATAAAACATATCTAATACAATAATCAGGCCTGGGTACAGTGACGTCTAATCACAGGTTTGAGGTCAGCCTGGAGTATAGAGATTCTGCCTCAGCAAACAAACAAAACCTAATCATCCAGTTCCAAATGCATCTCTTTAGGCATTTTAAAGCACTCAATTTGGTGGCATTTAGAATAATCACAATCCCAGGCAGCTATCATCTCTGTCTAGTTCCAGACTGTTCAGTCACCATGTAAGGAAGCTTGCTCTCAACATCCACCACCCCCCTTTCCTCAGAGCCTGCAACCAGCAACCTCACTGTTACTATGAATGGGCATCATCTATATATTTCCCATGGGTGGAATCCACTGTGCTTGCCTGCTTCTCACCAAAGTCATCCCTAGGACCTCGAGGGTATTAACATTCTTCAGATAAGCAGTGGAGGACTGGAGAATCTGCATACCCAGCCCTGAGACGGGTAGGATGAGAGATGATGATAGGGGTGTGTGTGTGTGTGTGTGTGTGTGTGTAGAGACCTTCTCTGCTCTGGCTGCCTAATCCTCAGAAAAGCAAGACTAGAAGATTGAAGAGACGGTTCAGCAAGCTAAGAGTACTTCACGGTCTGAGTTTGCCCCCCAGCACCTATGTGGAACGCCAGATGTGACCAGGTGTTCCTGTAAACGCAGAGCTGGTAGGAAGAGTGGTGGAGACAGGAAGTTGGCTCTAGTTCACTGGCCAGTCAGTCTAGTAAAAATTTAGAGAGCTCCAAGTTCCATGAGAGGTAGGTCTCAAAGGAATAAGGTTGAGCTTCAGTGAGGAAGAGAGCTGTCTCTGCATGAGTGGACATGTACACAGATGTTTGCAAACATGCATACTGAGCATGCACACACATGTGCATACTCACACACGTATACATACACAGAGAGTGCACACACACACACACACACACATCTGTTTCAGGGTCCATATTTACAGGACTGCCCATGAGGGTTAGAATTCTTTCTTGCTCAGTAACGCAGAGCAGCCATGACTCTGAGTGTCTTCAACGAAGAGTGCATGATAGTCCCTAACATCCCAGGCTTCCCCAGTGTCCTTGGAGGTCCAGCCTAGCTTTTTTGTAGCCCAGGAGACTGTGGACTGCCCCTTTTCCTTTACCCGGCAGATTCCACAAGGCCACTCTGCCACGTGGCCTTATCTTTCATTGGCTCTTGTGCTGACTCATAGGCTAGCAATATAACCCCACATTTATTGGAAGAGCCATGCCTGGTACAGCCCCTCTGCTCTCTGACCCACTTCCCACTCCTGTTCGGCCCTTCTACACCAGCAATTATGTGTCTTCTTTCTATTTGCTTTTAAATTTTGAGTTTTCATTTTTGGGAACAATTTGAGACAATGTTGCGGAAGCAGTAGACTTCTGGTCTACCCTCTGCCTAGCTTCTGCCTACTCAGACACCCAAGAATGAACAAACCCTGGAAGTAGAATGTAGTCAACAGCCTGTTCTGGGTTTGCTCTCTGCCTTGTTTTAGGTCCAGGCATTTAACTGTCATGTCTTTTCCACATGTCTTTGATTTTATTTTTCCCAACCTTGACACTTTAGGAGAATACTGGCCAGTCACTTCACAGAGTCCCTTTGTCTGGAACTAATGTTTCCTCTTGATTGAGTTTGACCTGTGCCTTGTGGCGAGAGCAGTGAGTGGCTTCTCTTCACACTGTCATGAGGCTCCAGGTCAGTTAGTCTACAGTTTGAACTTCGTTACTATGCCCACCAGGTTCTTCCACTGTTGAGGACAGTTGTTTTGGTGGTTACTAATAGACTCAAAGCCTCCTTGAGACCTGGTAACATCCTTGCCTGTCACAGTAAGTCCTGACCTATGTGTTTCCTGTCCTGGAGGC